CCTTATAGAAGTTTATAAAATATTGAGGGGCATAGATAAGGTGAATAACAAAGGTCTTTTCCCTAGGGTAGGGGAGTTCAAAACAAGGGGGCACATGTTTAAGGTGAGAGGAGAAAGATTTAAAATGGACATGAAGGGCAACTTTTTTTACGCAGAGAGTGGTTTGTATGTGGAATAAACTGCCAGAGGAAGTAATGGATGTGGGTACAGTTACACCATTTAAAAATCCTTTGAATAAATTCATGAATTGGAAAGGTTTGGAGAGATATGGGTCAAGCACAGGCAGGTGGGACTTGCTTAGTTTAGGATTATGGTCGGCATGGACTAGTTGGACTGAAGGGTCTGTTTCCGTGCTGTATGACTCTATGACAGCAACCAATGAAATCCCGTGCCCCCAACCCCCACCCCCTCGATGCCAGCTTGTTTGTATTTTGAATGTCCTCTGCCCAACACTAGAGAACGCCAGTGAGGTGGGATGAGGCCATTCAGTGGGCCTTCAAGCAGGGGGGTGGGGGTGAACGTAGAAAGGAGCAGCAGAGACCCTCTCAACAAACATTCCCTGACAAGGGCATTACGTTCTGCTGGCAGTGATGTTCAGTTGGGAATGCCAGGAATTCGATTCAGTGACGGATCAAAAATACAGCTCCTGATCAGAATTGTGAATGACTTGGAGGGAACCTGGTAGGTGGTGGTGTTTCCATCCATCTGCTGCCATGTCCTTCCAGGCATCAAAGGGCAGAGTTTTGCAAAGTTATATCAAAGTAGGTTTGGTCAGTTGCTGTAAATGGTATACACTGCTGCCAATGTGTACCAATGGTGGAGGATAGGATGCCAATCAAATAGATTGTTTTACCATGGATAGTGCTGAGCTTCTGTAGTGTTGTTGGAGCTGTATTCATACAGGTGAATTGGGTAAATTATTTCCCATCACCCTATTAACTTGTACCTGTAGACCACAGACTGGTTTTGTAGTGTCAGGAGGTGAGTTACATGCTGTGATGTCAATACTGTTGAAGGTCAAGGGGAGATGGTTACACACTCTCCAGTTGCAGATGATCATTGCCTGGCACTTTTATTCATGTACATATGTTACCTGCTACTTATCTGCACAAACTGGCATAAATCAACTGAAATTAGTTGAAACTTCAATCCCACACCAGTGTATTTCTGATGAAAGCTCATCGACCTGAAATGTTAACTGCTTCTCCCTCCAGAGGCTGCCAGACTTGAGTACTTCCAGCATTTTCTGTCGCTTCTAATAGATTTTGTCTCTAGGTCTTAAATTTCATGTACATCAGTGCAGCATTTTAATACTTTTCAATTGGGGTAGAGCTTCAATTTTTAATGGGAATTATGCTATAACAATGTATAAAAGGAACAGAAAACAGAGGAATGAGCCACCACTCAAAAACCTGAACTGTTCTATTCTAAGATAACAAGGTGTAGAGCTGGATGAACACAGCAGGCCAAGCTGCATCAGAGGAGCAGGAAAGCTGATGTTTCGGGCCTAGACCCTTCTTCAGATTCAGATTTCTGAAGAAGGGTCCAGGCCCGAAACGTCAGCTTTCCTGCTCCTCTGATGCTGCTTGGCCTGCTGTGTTCATCCAGCTCTATACCTTGTTATCTCATGAATTAAGGCTGATCCCTTTTCTCTCTCGAGCTCTGTTAGTTGCTCATTCAAACAGATCAGTTTACAGCTTTTGAACTTGAAGTTCTAGTTTACTGTTGGGGGGCAGCTCTTACCTTTCTGAAGTGTGTTAATCCCCCCCAGCCTTGCCAAGGGAGAAAAAAAAATTGAATTGAAATTGAAATGCAAGACATTTGAACACACCTGACATAAACAGAGAACAACTGCAGAATTCTGAGGAGGGATATCTAGGTGTTTTAGTGTGAGAGTCACAAAAGTTAGTACACAGCTACAAAATGTAAACAAGAAGTTTGATGCTTGCTATTTTTTATTATGACAGGAAGTGAACATGGAAGTAAAGTTCTTATGCTTCAGTTACACATGGTATTGGCTTCAGAGACATGTCAAAAATATCAACAGGGTATAGTAAGACCACATCTCATGTATGTGTGAAGTTTTGATATCCTCCCTTTAAGGATGTAAATGCATTGCAGGCAGTTCAGAGCAGGATTCCTCGATTGACACCTGGAATTTGTGGGTTGTCTTTGAAGGATAAGTTGGACAGACTGGACTTGTTCCCACTGGTGTTTAGAAGAGTGAGGGATGACTTGATTGAAGTATATAAGATACTGACTGGTCTTGACACGGTGGATGTGAAAGGAACGTTTCCTCTTGTGGTTCTGTCCAGAAGTAGGGACACTATTTTAAAATTAGTCATCACCTTTAGAAATGAGACGGGAAGAATTGTCTCTCTGATGATTGTGCTGCCTTGGAACTCTCTGCCTCAGAAGGCAGTGGAGAAAGTGTCATTGAATATTTTCAAGGCAGAGTTAAATGGATTCTTGTTAGAGAAGGGAATCAAAGGTTGTCGTGGGTAGGTAGTAATGCGGAACTCAAAACAAAACAGATCGCAGCCACAATCTCATTGAATGGTGGAGCAGGCGTGAGGGGCTGTATGGTCTACTTCACTCATGTTTCATATTAGCTGAGGGAGGTTGGGAGATGACAGTTATAAGTTTTTCTTATGCATATTTGACCTGATATCATGAGACCTTGTTGAGTCCATAGGCAACATTGAAGACTCCCAGGGCCACTACCTGCAAATTGTATAACACTCTGCAATGAGTTCTGCTGGGCCTGCAGAATTGGTGCCCACAGGAAATCCTCTTCCAATTTTGGCACATTTATTAGTGACTGGCTCAGTTGGGCCAGGTGTGCCATTTTCATTTCTGGTGCATCAATCAATGACAGATGGTCAATCAAGTTTTATTCTGAAGAATTCCATCAAGAAAGCCATTGGAATGCCGGTCTTTATATCTAGACTGCTGGAGTACAGAATTTGTGCTGTAGTTATACAAAACCCTGGTTAATACCCACTTCTAGTACTGTGAGCAGACCTGGAAGTATATATTGGCCCTGGAGGGAGTACAACACATGTCTACAAGAATGAAATCTAGATTTCAGGAGTCAAGTTATAAGTAGACATTATACAAATTAAGCCTGCTTTCTCGAGAATTTAGAAGGTTAAAGAAAGTGATCTGATTGAAGTCTTTGAGATATCAATAGGAAAAGACAGGGAGCATAAACTATTTTCACCGATTGGGGAATTCTAGAACTAGGAGCATAGTCTGAGAATTAAGGCCAGACCATTCAGGAGAGATGTTAGGAAGCACTTCTACACACAAAGGGTGGGAGAGGATTAGTGCTCTCTTCCACAAATGGCAGTGGATGCAGATCAGTTGTTAATTTTAAATCTGAGATAGATAAATTTTTGTTAAGCAAAGGTGTTAAGGGATTTGGGCTAAAGGCAGGTGTATGGAGTTAGGCCACAGATCAGCCATGATCTCATTGAATGGAGCTGAATGGCCTACTCCTGTTCCTGTGTTTCCAAGAATTCTGAAGTAGAGTCATTTCAGACTTGAAATGTTTACTCTCTCTACAGATCCTGCCACACACCTATTGTGTTTCTCCAGCATTTTGTTATTTCAGATTTCTAGCATCCATAAAATTTTGCTTTTATTTGCACTCTATTCTTATTCAACTTCTCTGGTGACTTGCTAGGCTATTTCAAGCAGCAGTTAAGAGTCAATTGCATTGCTGAGGGCCTGGGTTCACACGAGCAAACAGAATTGGGGGTCAAAGATCAGCCATAATCTAATTAAATGCCAGAGTAGAATCGAGCTGTCATACAGCCTATTCCTGCTCCTATTTGTTTGTGTTGTGATCCATATAGTTTGGGTCTCCTTATCTGAGGAAAGAAATACTTGTATAAGAGAGATTTAAGAAGATTTGATAGATTGTTTCCTTTTGTGTGTGTGTAGTTGGGGCTGGGGACAGTGGGTGGGGGGGGAAGTGGTGGGAGTGGTGGTGTCCTCTGACAAAAGATTGATGAGAATGGGCCTCTAATCATTGGAGTTTAGAAGAAATAGGAGGTGATCTCAATAAACCATACCAAATTCTTACAAGGCCTAACAGGGTAGATGTTGAGTGGCTGTTTTTCCTGGCTAGAGAACATGGAGCAAAGGGAAATTTCATCACAAGCGAGCTATGATTCTTTGTCATTCTCGAGAACCCTGTGGCTGAAATGTTAAACAACTGTTTAAGACTGAGGTTGACAAGACTTTTGGGCACATAGGAGTCAAAGGAGAGTGGAGTTGTAGAATTTCAATAATTAACTCTTTCAATAGTGGATCAATGTTAAGGGCTGCATCATTGACTCCTCTTCTATTTCTTATGTTCTTAAGTAGTGGCATAAGTCTAATTTTAATGATGTGATCATTCTTAATGACTGCCACACAGCTTCTTTTGTTCAAAAGAGAAACATAAATGCAGTCTCATGCCTTCAGGTTGCTAATTGTTTGTGGATTTTTTGTTTAAAATTGCAGTTTCTCAATTGACACCTGCTCTGGCATAAATTTACTGAATGAGATCCACCTTCTTATCAGTCAGTGTATTACCCTAACTTATTATCTCATTAGTTAGGGAGATACACTGTTTATCCCGTTATTAACCAAGACACCAGATGCTTCATGCTCTCTTGCTCCATCAGTTTCAATACCTCACATTGTGGGCAGTGCAGTAAGCAAGTAATAATGAATTGGGCAGTGCTACGCTTAATTACTCAAAATCAACACCAAAAGTGCATCTACTACTCTTGGTCATATTAACTCTTTGAAGATAAATATAATTTTAATCATAATTATTTTTGCTATAAGTGGCTGAAGTAGTCTAATTGCACTGCAAAAATCAAGTTTATTTTACCAGAAACAAGCAAACAAACTTATTATATAACTTACACTTAATTTCCTCAATCAATTAAATGATGAGTGAGATTTTTAACTACTGTCTTAAAGGAGCAAATACAATGTTTCTGTATAAGTGACATTTTTATTATAGAAATATTTCAACCCAACAAAATATGCCTCGTCCCTTATTCCAGTGAGTTATTTGCTAACCACTGCTTTTGGCAATTGAAATACAGGAAATTGGAGCATCAGGTATACAATAATATGAAGTCACAACTTTATACCTGTAAATATGTTCGTTCTACAATGACACAGACACAAATGTCATACATGGAACCATTCTAATACATTCATGGATATATCGCATGGAAGGTCGAGATAATTTGCAAATATTAAATTTCCTTTTCAAAGTAATTACAGAAAGAATTGCATAATTTCCTAGGTAACACACTAACACTTTTTAATAGATTTAAGTTTTTAATTGATTTGCTGGGACTATATTTACATGTAAAATAACAAATGACCAGATGGAATTACATACCAGAATTAACATGTGGTCCCATATTTGTTCTAATATACCAAGTACTCAGAAGCAAAAGCCAAAAAGGACTTTTATAACATTCAGCTATACAATCCTTGATCATTGATTAAATGGTATAGCATATACAGAGTTCTTGTCCCATCAGCACCAACAATGAAAAGTGGATAGTGGTCAAATTAATGTGAATTGTCAGGATAGAAAGGCATGGGCAAACTGCTTCCAATGAAGAACAATACACTTGTGTTACAACCTCACAAAGGATGACCCATTAAGGAAGCAAGGTGAAATTCAAATGGGACCCTTGGTAATCCTGGCGTCTGATTCTGGAGACTTGGTTGCTAGAATGCAAACTGAAAACTAGAATGTGAGACAAATGAGAAAGAAAATAATTGGAATTCAGGCTGCATATTTAGAAATAATACGCAGAAGAAAATGCTCTGGAAATTATCTTGTAAATATTACATATACAATTATAATTGATACCAAAGTGTCCATATCTTTCACTCTTTCTGAATAGATCATGCAGAGGATAAAAGCATTGTAAAGATAACCAAAATAAATCTCTGCTCTAACAATCAGTGAATATAACAATTAATAGACAGAATATATATATTTTTGTACATTTGAAAATATTTTAGGCATAACTAGAAAAACTAAAAAAACTTTTGGTCTACAAAAGCAGATAATGATATTCTTTGATGCATAAGCAATCATCTACTGTGCAATACTTGGTAAGCATATATTCTACTGCAGTAGAATTATTACTGTGATACGTCAGTAATAAAGTAAGGTATACTTTGTACTACATGTTTGTTGGTAAATGTTTGTGTCAGTCCTGCAAAAGACACAAATTATATTCCTTTATAAATCAAGATGGTGGCAAGTATTAACAAAAATAAACCCAATTCACATGGCAAACACCAAATTAGTTTTATATTTAACTTGCATATATTATGAATCAAAATGCATTAGTAAAGCATTCATTGTTGCAACTGAACTGATATTTTCTTTGTAATGCAGATATAAAGGTGATTAAAAATAAGATACATCAGAGTAGTGCGCGTACAAATGGTCTGATTTGAAACCCTGCTGACTTCCTGCAAATGCACTGCATGTGTCATTTGTGAATTGAAAACATCTGATGCATACATAACCTGATTTAGGGATAAGGTATTGTGCAAACAGCAAGGAAGAAGGAAGTCAATTTGGATAAACAGACTCCCTATAGAAACTGGGCACATAAATGCAAGCACACAAAGCAGATACAGAATTCCTGCTGCTTTGCTTCACCAGGACCGAAAAATAGACTCCATACCTTAACCTCATATTTTGTTGTTATAGGTTCACCTTCTGCAGCTTTTAAGTCACGGATCTCAATGTGAACTTTATAGAGCACGTAACCTAGCCAGTAGTGCTTCTACTTCAGGAACAGCATTATTCTTAGTGCTAGAAATAACAGTTCCCATCTCCTTCTTCTTTGGGTCTAAAACAACACGCCCCTCCCGTTTCCTGACAGCTTTACTGCTTGTGGTAGGTGAATATGCCTCTGTTTCAGAACTGGACTCCTTGGTAATTGGAATTCTAGCTGTGTTCAAGTGGATATTCTGACCAGAATGTGACCTTTCCAGTTGAGCCTTTTGATTTTCTGCAGTGGGAAAAAAACATAAAGAGGAATTAAGTTACAGAAGAGTTGAAAAGCAACTATGTAATGTGGGGCAAACAACATGCAAGTAGCAGAGGTGCGAACTAAAAGTGATAGAAATTACAAGAAATGTCAATCACACACAGGGTCACATAAATATCACAAGTTAAATACAGGATTGCTAGCATAAACCTGATGATCCCAATTTAGCAATCGTGTTTTTCCCCTTAGTAAATTCAGCTCCAGGGGAATATTGCCAACAAAAGATAATGCATCTTTAATAAACTGATTAGCATTTACATGTCAAGTGAGGCAGGTGGGATGTACACAGTAGAAATGTGACCGCATCAACTCCCATTAATACAACAAAACTTTTTTTCATTTCAAACTGCAGTGCATTGAGACCCACCTTAAAAGGCTTAGAGGCACAGATAAGCACAATTTAATTTTCAAACACAATGTACTACCTATCTGATATATTTGCAGCATGTAACTAATAAGTGACAGTGATCTTGACTTATCATATATGCTACAGATGTCAGCTGTACAGTCAATGATTAAATGACTTTGCCTGATAGGAGCAGAAAACAGAAATTTTATCAGCCAGTTTGCAGACCTCGAGCAAACATTGTGAATTATTCTTTCCCATATCGTCAACTATAAAAAAAAGACATTCCATATTCATGTAACCTTGAGCACAGCCTGAAAACAGTCTCAACAAACTTGACATGACATTTAAAGTTTTTGGTTATTCTCTGAAAGATGTTCTATCATCCAAACAGTAATGACTTTGGAACAGACGCAGTCACTCATGACTGTGTTTTATGTGAAAGCTGAAAATTCCTACAGAAAACAGCTTGTACTTTAAAAGGCTGCTGCTGAAGATATTTACTGCACTGTCATTTCATGACCAGAGGGCTCATGGTGATGGATGAACACTTTACACAGCAGCTTGGACAATCTCAGCAAACCTCTGTAGTATGATCACCTCTAGACCAGAGGCAAGAAAATAAATGTTTTTTTTCTAAAATGTAACGGCTTTCCTGCCTAGCAGTATTTCAGAATGGATTTTTGAGAAACAGTACTGGCGTGCAGAGGGTGACATGATATATTGGACTGTGATGTATTGTCTCTCTGTATTGTAGCAAAGCTCAACCCACTTTGCATTTAGTTAGGAAGGAAATACAAGTATTTTGGAGGAACTACCAGCACAGACTCATATATTAAAGCATTTCATATCTGTTTGTCCAACTTGTTTCTTCTTGAAGGAGCTTAAATTTAGAGGAACAAACAAGATCTCAAAAATAGTGAGGTGTCAATGTCAACACTTCCAATGCCAGCTAGATATTGAGTAGACATTTTTAAAATGAAAGCTTCCACCTGGCATTATTTAGACTATTTAATTCAAGAACAAGACAATGCTTTTTGGAGAAGTCAGATTTTTGAGGAGTGGGGAGATCTCAGTTGACTTTTAAAAATAGCAGGTGGGACCTGGATGTAGGAGTGTTGATCCTATTTCTGACATACCAATTTTTGGTGGTAACAGTACTGGACGGGCTGCGATTACTCATGAGGCAAACTCAAACTCAGCAAAGCTATTTGAGCTCAGTGCTGAGCTTGATTGTTGCAAGGCTGTTTGGCCACAAAATGGGAGTGATGAATTGATGAAGTACACACAAACACTCTTGAAAGGCAGGTAAGGTCTGTACAAATTCTGATCTGATTTTGTTTTTAAATACCCTGCTCTTTAAACTACTTGTGGGTCAGAAAACATAAGAAGTAGGAGCAGGAGTAGGCCTTCTGGCCCCTCGAGCCTGTTCCGCCATTCGATAGGATCACGGCTGGACTTTTTGTGGACTCAGATCCACTTAGTCACCCATTCACTATAACCCTTAATTTCTTTACTGTTCAAAAATTTATCTATTTTTGCCTTAAAAAGTAGCCTCAACTGCTTCACTGGGCAGGGAATCCCACAGATTGGATGAAGAAGTTCCTCCACAACTCAGTCCTAAATCTACTCTCCCTTATTTTGAGGCTATGTTCCCTTGTTCTCGTTTCACCCGCCAGTGGAAACAACTTCCCTGCTTCTATCTTATCTATTCCTTCATAATTTTATATGTTTCTGCAAAACCCCCCTCATTCTTCTAAATTCTAATGAGTATAGGCCCAGTCTACTCCATCTCTCCGTATAAGCCAGCTCTCTTAACTCTGGAATCAACTTAGTGAACCTCCTCCGCAACCCCTCCAGTGCCGGTACATACCTTCACAAGTAAGGAGACCTAAACTGTACACAGTATTCCAGGTGCTCACCAGCACCCTATACAGCTGCAGCATAACCTCCCTATTTATAATCTCCTTCTCTCTAACTATGAAGGACAATATTCCATTTACCTTCTTAATTACTTGCTGCACCTGCCAACCAATTTTTTGTGATTCATGCATAAGGACACGCAGGTCCATCTGTACAGCAGCAGGCTGCAATTTTTCACCATTTAAATAAGAGTCCCTTTTGCTGATAGTTCTACCAAAATGGGATGACCTCACATTTATCATCATTGTATTCCATCTGCCAGACCCTTACCCACTCACTTAACCTATTGATATCCCTCTGCACTTTCCTCTACCACTCATCTTAGTGTCATCTGTGAACTTTCACACGCTACACTTGGTCCCAAACTCTAAATTATCGATGTAAATTGTGAGCAATTGCAGTCCCAACACTGATCCCTGAGGCTCACCCCAGGCCACTCCTTGCCAACCAGAAAAACACCCATTTATCTCCACTCTACTTTCTGTTAGTTAACCAATCCTCTATCCACGCTAATACATTACTCGTAATGCTGAGCACCTTTATCTTATGCAGCAGCCTTTTATGCAACGCCTTGTTGAATGCCTTTTGGAAATGCAGATAGACTACATCCACTGGTTCCTTGTTGTCCATAAGACCATAAGACAAATGAGCAGAAATTAGGCCATTCGGCCCATCGAGTCTGCTCTGCCATTCAATCATGGCTGATAAGCTCCTCAACCCCATTCTCCTGCTTTCTGCCCGTAACCTTTGATCTTCTTGACAATCGAGAACCTTTCTATCTCAGTCTTAAATGTACTCAATGACCTGGCCTCCACAGCCTTCTGTGGCAGTGAATTCCATAGATTCACCACTGACTGGCTGAAGAAGTTTCTCCTTATCTCCATTCTAAAAGGTCTTCCCTTTACTCTAAGGCTGTGCCCTCGGATCCTAGACTCTCCTACCAATGGAAACATCTGCACAACATCCACTTTGTCCAGGCCATTCAGTATTCTGAAAGTTTTGATTAGATCCCCCCTCATCCTTCTAAACTCCAATCAGTATAGTCCCAGAGTCCTCAAACGTTCCTCACATGTTAAGCTTTCCATTCCTGGGACCATTTTCGTGAACCTCCTCTGAAACCGCTCCAGGGCCAGTATATCCTTCCTGAGATATAGGGCCCAAAACTGCACACAATACTTCAAATGTGGCCTGACCAGAGCCTTATAAAGCCTCAGTAGTACATCCCTGCTTTTATATTCAAGTCCTCTCAAAATAAATGCCAACATTGCATTTGCCTTCCTGACTACTGACTCAACCTGCAAGTTTACCTTGACAGAATCCTGGACTAGAACTCCCAAGTCTCTTTGTACTTCAGACTTCTGAATTTTCTCCCCATTTAGAAAATAGTGCATGTTTTTATTCTTCTTACCAAAGTGCATGACCTCACACTTTCCCATGTTGTACTCCATCTGCCACTTCTTTGCCCACTCTCCTAACCTGTCCAAATCCTCCTGCAGCCTCCCCACGTCCTCAATACTATCTGTCCCTCCACCTATCTTTGTAACGTCTGCAAACTTAGCCAGAATGCCCTCAGTTCCTTCAGCTAGATCATTAATGTACAAACTGAAAAGTTGTGGTCCCAACACTGACCCTTGCGGAACTCCACTTGTCACCCACTGCCATCCTGAGAAAGACCCCTTTATCCCCACTCTCTGCTTTCTGCCAGACAGCCAATCTTCAATCCATGTTAGCACCTTGCCTCTAACACTGTGGGCCCTTATCTTACTCAGCAGCTCCTGTGTGGCACCTTAACAAAGGCCTTCTTGAAGTCCAGGTAGATAACATCCATTGGCTCTCCTTGGTCTACCCTGCTCATTACTTCCTCAAAGAATTCTAGCAGATTTGTCAGGCATGACCTCCCCTT